TGGTACACCCATAATACACCCTTTACCTCGGGTTTAGTGTTTTTATTGTCAGGTTTAGTGTTTTTCGACAGGTTTAGTGTTTTCCGGGGTTTCCACTCAACGGTACTTGAGTGACCTTATGGATGGATCAAGTCAGCCACCTTGAATAGATTTTGCAAATCAAAGTGACGGGTATCAACCTTCAGTAATGGTTACTCCTTCCACAAAGTTTGAAAAGATCAAACAACTAATACCTGATTTTAGTATTTTATGTGTTCCATGATGTGCTGTTTATGTATTACTTTTGAAGTGAATTGCTCAAAGCATATACAAGATATGTGTCTAAATAGCATTTGTCAAAAACAAGATGGCTGCCAGTCGGCTATTTTTCAAACTTATAAATCAAAGTGGCATGCATCAACCCATAATAGTAGTATTGATCTTTCTACCAAATTTGAAGTAAATCGGGCAATACATGCCCGAGATTTGGTTCCAGACATGTCAAAATACCTGATTTTAGTTTTTTTTTAACTAACATCATCAGCAGTCGACCATCTTTGTACAAATCTCCGTACATGCATATGTATTGGATAAGGTATTATCTAAAGGTTACAGATATATGCATGCACGCAAAGAGTCAAAACCAATAAACAAATAAACATACAGCTTTTTGAGCTTCCTGGAATTTGATGACAGTCATTTGCATACTTTTTAGTGTTGGACATTTCTGAACTTGGTTAAGAGTCGAAATTGGGAATAAAAGTGAATGAAAGCTGAACTATTAAAAAAGAAAAGTTTGCCAAGCTGGGTTCGAACCTCGAGTTTGGTAATGTGAATTGGTACACGTACCTAAAATCACTACTCATAGACAGATCATGAATATTCATATTAATTGATATCTGATGTGTGGCTTGATTGTTGGCGATCCGCTCCGCTAGGATTGCCCTCACTTTTGTGTGTGATTTCCAGTGTTTTCACGTATTATTTCTTCTGTGATTTTTTTGGCTTGGCCGATTTCGCTCAAACTTGGCAGGTAGGTCACACCTTCACCCTAGTTATTAGAAAAAATCTGTAAAAATTTTTTGGCCCACTGTTGCCATAGCAACAGCAAAAAACTGATTTTTGGATAGCTTCGCGCCAAATTTATCTCCTACAAATTTAGGATAAAACACCTTAGACATAGCTCATTCTACTTAGCTTGGTGGGCACAAAGTTAATATTTGAATTTTTTGATATCTTTTATCACTGCCGAGAAATTTGACCCCAAAGTGGAGGTAACTGTTATGGTATTGGCATTTTAACTCTTCTGTGATTTTTTTGGCTGGGCCGATTTGGTTCAAACTTGGCAGGCAAGTCACACCTTCACTCTAGTTAGGTTTTAAATTCTGAGAACAAATTTTGGCCCATCGTTTCCATGGCAACAGGCAAAAAAAATATTTTTTAAATACTTTCGTGCCAAATGTATCTCGCCCTACAATTCTAGGATTAAAAACCACGGACATATCTCATTCCACTCAGCTTGAGTGTGGGCAAAAATTTACTGTTTTTTTTATGCATATTGTCATTAACAAGAAAATTGGCCTCAAAGTTGACTTTTAACTCCTCTGATTTGTTTGGCTTGGGGAAAACAATCCTGACCCATCACTGCCATTGCAACATCCAAAAACCGATTTTTGAATACTTTCGCCCCAAATTTATTACCTCCTACCAGTTTTGCAATAGCAGTGTTCAAATGATCGTGCTTTTTATTTTGGCTACGTTGCTCACTGGTAAGAGATCACCAGCGTCAAATTGTTACACTGTATCAACATAATCCCAACGCAATTTTGAACTTTGAATGAACTGTAAATGCTGCCTTCATTCTAGAAAATACTATCGCAAAACGGTTGGAAACAAGTCATTGAAAATGACACAGTCCCCGTTAAGTTCTCTTTGTGCTCGTCATATTAAAGCAGAGGGGTTGTCGTGAGCGTGTCCTTGAAACTTGAGTTCCAAGTGACGTATATAACAGATTGTTTATTTACATCAAAACACGTGTTTCGTGTCATAGTAATATGGCCAAAATAAAAACGGCCGTTATTCAGCCATCTTTGATCTGATTATGAAACACACTGATATGTATGATGTATGTGCCAAATACGAATGAAAATGGTACATAAATTGTGGAAATATAGTAGTAAGGCCAAAAAGTCAGATGGCTGTCAATCGGCCATCCTTGACCAGATTTTGAAACAAATTGTCATGGATATGCATCCTAACATGTATAAAGTACATGTATGTGCCAAATTTGAATGAAAACTGACAGAGCACGTCCAAGATACCGCATAAAAAAACAAAAACAAGATGCCTGCCAGTCGACCATCTTTGATCCATCATGGACATGTATCCTAACATGTATAATCTATGTACCAAGTTTGAATGACAACTGACAAAGCATGTCCAAAATACAACATTTTCAAAAAACAAGATGGCTGCCAGTCGGCCATTTTGAATCGAATCGAATTGCTAAACCACTGCATGTGCATATGTCCCACATAAGGTACTAGGCACATGCAAAGAATGAACGGAATCGGTCCACAGGATTCTGAAATATGACGTTGGATAGACTGACGCACGGACAGACGGTCGGACAGACTCAGGAACTCACGGACGGTCGGGGACATGTATCCTAACATGTATGATCTATGTACTAAATTTGAATAAAAACTGACAAAGCATGTCCAAAATACGACATTTTCAAAAAACAAGATGGCTGCCAGTCGGCCATCTTTGATCCAATTGTGAAATAAATCATCATGGACATGTATCCTAACATGTATAATCTATATACCAAGTTTGAATGAAAACTGACAAAGCATGTCCAAAATACATTTTCAAAAAACAAGATGGCTGCCAGTCGGCCATTTTGAATCGAATCGCTAAACCACTGCATGTGCATATGTCCCACATAAAGTACTAGGCACATGCAAAGAATGAACGGAATCGGTCCAAGGGACTCTGAGATATGACTTCGGACGGACGGACGGAGACCGAATTATAAGTCCCCGTTTTCGGACTAATAATAAATGTAACAGCAGAATACGTCCTAACAACAAAGTGACTTCTAAAGACTGAATAGTTTTTGCAAACGTATACGGGCCCATTTAGTTATAAACTGACGTTAGCTTCACATTCACGTCCTACCATGGGAACAGCCAAAAACATGTTGCTTGTTTTTGATCGGAGCGGATTGCCAACCAGCTTAAGTTGATCATCAGCGCTTGGAGAGGGACACAATCAGGGACTTAGCAAGTTCAACTGGTCAGCTGTTCACACACACACACACACACACACACACACACACATATTTATTAACACAGATGAAACATGAAATAGAGGCTGTTGGATATTTTATTTTATTATGACATGATAATCGAAACCATTCAAGCAAGTAATTTGACATTTTGGAGAAAATAATTCTTGAAGAAATGTCTATTCCATTAAGAATATTGATCACTCTCCAACTGAATAGTAGAGACCTGGAGAGGGAGGGGGGGGGGGTATTGTAGCAACAATAAAAGACTTTCTCAATACTGCATCACCAACTTAAGTTAGTACAACTGCCAAACAGGCTTGGTTCATAAAAGCATTGTATAAATACATGTTTTGGACAATCTGATTACGTTGGTCATTCATGCAGTTAACAGTAAAAACCCACATAGTAACACACTGATGTTAATGATGAGATACTGTTGGATAATAACTATTCTATTTCGGCAAAGGGTTCTTCGTAAATTAATTGTATCGTTGTTGTCTTTGTTGACCTCTTCGACCACCTGTAATTAAACATCAGAAAATGCAAATTGTTATTTTGTATACAATATAATGGGAAAATTGTATCAAGAATGTAGTGTTTTCGTGTTGCGAGTCCTGATGAGAAAATTAATTGGAACTTGCAATATATTCTGTGTACCCCTCTGCTATTATCTCTTACCAAATATGCTTATTTACCAAGGGATCTTATATCCACTACCAAATACCCAGTTTATAGCCTCTAAACAACATACTGTAGAATACTTTATTTTCGCTTGGAATTTATTTTCGCTATTTTCGCTGAAGGGATCATTCCGTGAAAATAAAATCCAGCGAATATACTTTTTTTCCTATATTTCACATTAAACTCATCAAAAATCAGTGAAAATTAATTCCATACAAAACGCCCAAAAAGCCTTTTCAGCGAAAATTAATTCCAGCGAAAATAAAGTATTCCACAGTAGTGCGTGTATATAAAATTCCATGTCATATTTTAGCATCAGACTTGGTCCAGAAGACTTGCATTTTTTGCATTATTGTTTTTTACTGTAGAATTCTATGTTAAAATTCCTTTCATTATAGCACATTTTATAAAATCAGTCTCGTTTAACCCTATAAAAGCTACAATGTGCACACAAGGCAACTGTTGACCATGCCAGCATTCAATATCTCATGAAGTAAGCCAACAGTCAATATGTTTATGAGGTAAGCAAGCAATAAAAGCTGGCTAAAACATTTAAGGAAACACAGAGGAGTCTGCTGTAAATTACAATTTTCTCACCATAAGATTTATTTTGGTAATCCCTTTGCTGTTGCCCGTCACCACGATTTTGCTGCCTGTGGTAGAAATTCCCTTGTTTCATCTCCATTTGTTTTTCATTTGATTCTACCAGTATTGAGACCTTCTCTGAGAGTTGTAACGCCATACTTTGTAGCCTAGTTGGTTCACATCTGTGCATGACAACACACTCACTTGGTTCATCCCAAGATGCCTAGGGATAAATGGCAATGTACATGCCGTGTTAACTACCACTCAAAAAACATATGTATGAAGCTGCACCAACAGCGATCAAGATACAATTGCGTAGAACTTAATTTTTAATTATCATAACTATAAAATGCTAAACATGATATGAAAACATGTAAAGTTGGGCAATTTGAGAAAACAAGAACATGATTCTATGACCAAAAGCTAAAACATAGTTGAACTCTGGTGACCTTGCCCTTTGTTATATAATATAATTCCCTTTATCATAGTTTGTTTCAATATAAACATGCATTGTCATAATTAATTTTGAATACAAACAAGTTTTGGGGTTGAACCAACAGTGGGGAATCAGTCTACCAAATGTCCTTAAAAGATGTAAATATCTTACAAAAACATTGGTGCCTTATTTGTTTAATTATTTTAAGGGACATAATTTCCAGCTTTCTTCAAAGTAATTCAGATATTTTAGTATAAAAACAAATGTCTCATTGGAAAAAAAAAAGTGCTGCATTTAGATGTGAATAGATTCATAAATTGTGCAAGATAACAGAAAATTTTAGCTGGCTTTAGTCCAAGTATTTTGTACAGGTGTCTGTCAAAAATTAATGATTCACTGAGACAAATATGAACTGCCTCATTGTGTGACTACTGTATTATATGAAAAGTAAAAAAAAACACCCTTTATGAATAGCTATCATGTTGCAAGCTCTGCTTTGTATGCAAATCAACTTAAATAGTTAGTTGGTGTCCAGTGGAGGGAGAAGTCAACAGTACTGTTCCCTCCTGAGAATCTACATCTTCAAACACTGCAATCTTTGAAGTGCGTATTATAAAAACTCTATCATTCTGTTCTAATAGCTGAAACATATTCCTGTAAGTTTTCATTTGTCGAATGAACTGTTTGTCAAACACAGAATACATATATTTTAGAATAATTTTCTTTTTAAAATGTGGATGAAATGTTTTGCTTTTAATGTATTTTTTATGTATTGTTTTTGATTTGATAACTTTGAACTAAACAGATTTTCATTAGCTTCAGATCTTGATCAA